TCAGAGGGAGAGTTTGTGGGGCACAGCTCTTGTAACCTTCTCTGGCAAACCCTGGATTCATTCACTGCAAAATTGGACCTTGGCTTTATTCAGCGTGCATATCTGTTGTATGGTGTGCAATGAACGAGGCAGGTTGACACACATTAAAAATGAGGACAAAATAAAAAATTAAGAGCTGCCTCATTGTATAACCGTATTGTACTACAGAGCATAGGAGCAGCCATCCTAGGTCAGACCTGACATCCAGCTAGACCAGTATCCTATCTCTGACAGCCAATACCAGATGTCAACTTTCAGAGGAAAGTGCAAGAAACCCTGCAGTAGACAGCTATGGGACAGTCTGCCCATAGGTTTCAGAGTAGCAGCCGTGTTAGTCTGTATCCGCAAAAAGAACAGGAGTACTTGTGGCACCTTAGTCTCTAAAGTGCCACAAGTACTCCTGTTCTTTCTGCCCATAGGGACATTTTCTTCCTAATCCTCTCAGTTAGAGGTTGTCTTATGCCCTGAAACATGAGCATTTATATTCCTTCCAAAAATATCTGAGTGTTTCATTTTTTCAAACCTTACTATTATAACTCTGGACAGATATTCTAGTTATCTATGAAGATGTCCAATCCTTTTTTGAATCATGATGAGTTCTTGGCCTCAGTTATACCTTGTGGTAATGAGTTCCACATTCTAATTCTGCATTGTGTGAAAAAACATTTATTTGTATCTTTTTATATCCTTTTAAAATTGCTGCCTTTAGTTTCACTTACTGTTCCATTGTTCTTGTATATAAGACCGGATGGTGAACTGAAGTTTCTGATCTACCTTCTTACCATTCGTTATTTTGTATACCTTCATCCTAATCCCTTGTATTGGTTTCCTCTTGAAGGTAAAAACTGCTAGTCTTTCCAATTTTGTCTCATAAGGAAGTTTTTCTTTGTCTTTTATCATTCTTGTGACTTGTCAGCCATCTTTGAATCCCCTCTATTTCTGCTTATCTTTTTTGAGTTGGGGTGCTCAGAACTGAACACAGTATCACAGTATGCAGGTGAGGGTGCGCCATTGATTTAAATATATCTGTAAATTTAAAGAGTTCCCCATGCTGGAGGAGGCTCCACAAAATAGGTAATATAACATCAGGCTAAATTTTTTAGTAAGTTCTGCTGGATGGAGACAAATTGCAGCCCTACCAGCTCTTCCCCCAACCAGTCCACTCCTCCGTTGCTCACTCACTGTACTCCCTCACCCATGCCAATCTCTGGATTTGTAGATAGCCTTCCCCACAATTCAGGAAAGGGGATGTTTCCACAGAAGCTGCTGAATCCCACCTTCCATGTGGGAAGAGTGGCATCACATACCTCTGTGTAGAAGCATGACCCACTACAATAAGTAGTTACTAGAGTGTGTGGAGATCACATGCAGAGAGAGCGCCATACAGGAAAACATAGCTCTGCCTTGAAGAGTTTTCAATCTGAATAGATAAAATACATGGGTGAATTCTCAAAAGGTGTCAGTGCTGACCTAATTCTGCTTGGCCACTGAAGCCAATGATAAAACTCCTGTAAACTGAGCCCTTTTGAAAATCCTATCAATGGAGCTGAGGGAATGGATGCAACACGTGAGCAAAGTGAGTGAGTAGTTTTGTTTGGCATGTGTCATGTTAATTCCAAAGGATGTGTGTGTGTTTATGTTTGTAATGAGAGATCAATTAAGGATTTTGAGATGAGATATGGAAGAAGTGGTGAAGAAGTGAGATTTAGGGAGGGACTTTAAGGAAGAGAGTGAGGAGATCATGAAGACTTTGGGCTAAATTCTGCTCAGTTTACATGCTGAATTCAGTGGGGCTACTCCTGGGATTGTAATAAGTAGCATTTAGCCCATTTACCCCTTTTTCATATGGAGTTCTGTGCAGGTAAAAACTGTAGGTGTTATTAATTGCATTTTTCATTCTTCCTCTACACAGCAACAATGAAGACAATACATTCTATGTGGAGCTATGAAGAACTGGTGAATTGTTGTAACTCCCTTTGATAAAGACTATATGGCTGACATATCAGTGGACTTTTAAAAGGAAGGATGATCTTGTGGTTAAGGCCCTGGATTGGGACTCAGGAAAATTAGCTTTAGTTCCCAGCTCTGCCATAGATCTCCTGTGTGTCCTCAGAAAAGTCACTTAATCTCTCTGTGCACCAGTTCTCCATCTATATAATAGCGATAATGCTACTTCTTGTCTCCTATACTTTGTCTATCTTGCCTGCTTGGATGGTAAACTCTTTGGGACATAATCTGGCTCTTACCATCTATACATATAGCACACATAATATAGCATCTAGCACAATGAGGCCAATCTCTTTTGGGATGCCCAGCATGCCAGCATAACTATGCCTCCAAATACATTGGTGGGGCAGAGTCAAAGTTATGTCTGCTTCCTACCCTCTCCTACTCCCCTGCACAAGGAAGGGACATAGCAGCTCTGCATAGCCTGCTACCTCTTCCCACAACCCATGTGCAGAAAGTGGAGATACATCCCTTAGTGTGCTCACCATTCTCCATTAAATATGAATTTTCTTTACAAAATATTTCTGTTTGATCTCTTTTGAAAGGTATTTATTGACATGGAAGGTATGCCAGCCAATCTAGATTTTAACAAATAGTCTAGTTCATAGATTTCATAGAGTTTAAGTACAGAAGGGACCATTTTAAAAAGAGATTCTAAGTAACTAAGCATTTCAGTCCATGCCAGGACTGTGCCCTGGTAGTCAAGAAGGAAGCCTGGTCTTTTCTTGTGATGTGAATCTGGAAAAAATGAAAGTGGGCCTAACCCTACTGGTAATTCTGGCAAATTAATTCCAGCTATACAATGCTGGTCTCATTGAATACTGAGCTATATAAACTTTTCTTAAATAGGAGGAATTATGTTTAAAAATCTCAGTGCACACCCCAGTCACTGGATAGTCCAGGGGAATATTAGGAGGGAGAGCCTATCACCTATAGGTCACTGGTTCCAGCCTGTGAACGACTGAAGGTCCTTACCATTTAGTGACTGCTCAGAGATGAACTGGTGGTCTAAGGTCTTTGTAGAGTGTCTAGCACCATGGGGTCCTGAACCATGATTGGGGATCCTAGGTGCTACCACATTATACAAAATAATAATTAGCTTAGTTCTTAGCGGACAAATATCGGTGTCACAACTGTACCCTTGGTGATATCCTTACCAGAGACTGAACTACCCTTTAATTCCTATAGGTGGCCTCTGCAGACATGCCCACAGAGTCAAACCTTGATGATCCTAAATGGGGTCATGTTTTGAGATGTGTGTTAACTGCACTGAAATTTCCCTTTGTTGCTGGAAACTATGTTTATCCCAATTAATTCAATGTCCCCATTCCATCAGGAAAATTGAGGATTATTTGTATCCATATTTAAATGTACTAAATCTTGTAGTTGACATCTAAATTATATCCTATATCTGTTGAAGTTTTGTCCCCTATAATAAAATAATGGTGAAAGACTCCTAATGGGAGCCACTCAAATTTGCAATGGAGACGAAATACATAATTAGGGCCAAATTCTGAAAGCCATACCCAGTTTTGGCTTACTGAGAAAGGCATGCAGCATCAGAGCCTCGCTTTTTTATAACCATTTAAAATAAAATTATTTCAAACACTTTTGCTAATCCATAATTGTAAATAAACCAAGGATAATTTTATTTGTCTTCTGAGCTAATTCTATTTTTTTCTTCTGCCATGAAACACATTAGAAGCAAACCTATTTTTCAATAGGCAGTTGTCTATAACTGGTACTTGGGAAGATGCTATTTTTATATTAAATCGAATTTTAAAAAGTAAATACAAATCTGTGCAGTACTAATATATTTATGTTGCTATGTTATATATTCATACCTACATTTATGTTACTAGTTCTATATCTGGTATACCTGTTGGCTTTGCCAAACTGTAGAAGTAATTAACAGAGCCTTCCTTTGAGCTATTTAGGAGTGGTTTCTATTACAGTATGTACTCCAAAGAGGAAGTCAAGTGGAATTATATGCAGATACATACATGTCTGAACATGTTCCCCTAGTCACTCAAAGTGCGGAATGAAATTTTGAAGAGACACTGTCACGTTATATTTGGCGTAAAATATAGGTTTTCTAAAAATAACTTTTACAAAGTTTAAGATCAAGAGAAATAATTCCATGAATGTAGAACAAAAATTACAATGAAAACAGTTAAAAAAAACCCAAAGCAAAACAAAACAAAAAAATACCTCTGTTGTGTTTACAACCCAAATGTTACATAGTAAAATGATTACAAACAATAAATATTGAAATAATGTGTTAGTGGATGAGCACCTAAGTGAATCTGACTAAAATTAACTATAAACAGAAGTGATACTAATTAGTCTATTTGCATTGTCCAATATGAGATAAATGCAGAAAGTAAACAAACAGTATAATAATAATACAAAAATACAACGTTGCACTTTTACAGCAATTTCTATATGAGAATCTCAAAGGACTTTACAAGCAGTAATCAATTATATCCCATAACTCCATTATGAAGTAAATACATATAATCCCTATTTTACAGATGGGGAAACTGAGGTACAGCAAAAGAAGTGACATCAAGATCACACAGAGACAGTGGCAGAGTGGATTAATAAAAAAAAGTAAATCAGATGTTCTCTCATCCTCTAGTTTGAATAAATGAAGATGTTTGTAGGCTTTTAAATGGGCTTTTAAATATTATATAGTTAATAAGGTGGTGTCTCTTTAAGTCTGTATACGTTTGCAATGTGATACTTGGCCTGATACCATATGACACTCTGAATGTCCTGACTTTCGAGGAGTTAAAGACAGACTATTAACAGAGCATTTGCTGTTGACAGAGACAGATCTATATGATAACACAGGTTTCTGTAGTAGCTTGGAAACTTGCCCCTCTGCTTGCGGCTTAGCTCATCAGCCCTCCCCGTGGGCGGGGACAAGGCTGCTGTATGGTTAGGTTGAGTCTCGCTGCGTGCGTCTATAACTTTGTGTTGCTTGCTGCTGCTGGTGGTTAGGAGAAGGAATGTGGAAGTCAGTAGAGTGCAGGGTGACAGGCTGGTCGGGCGAGCTGCAGCAGCAGCATTATTTCTCGCTGGCAGATCATTTGCTTTTCCCCTTCTGTTTACAGAGGTATCGTACGGTTTTTTGCTTTCTCCTCCTTTGCCTTTAAAGGGAAGGCGACTAGAAGCTGAAGACGCAGCAGCAGGAGAATCAGGAAACCATGCACCAGCGCTGCTTTTTCCTCCTGTGAATCTGGATCTTTATTTTTGCTGGAGAGGGTAGAGGTTGCTGCTGGTTCTTCCCCTGCCCTCCTTCCCCTGCCGATGTGTCTTCCTCTGTCTCTTTTGCCAGTGTTTTTTAAATGACTTGAGCGAAGGGGGGAAAACTGTCAAGATGGCAGCAGCAGGAGCAAGGAGGTTATGAATGTGGTGTTGATGCTGGAACAAAACCCATCCTCTTGGCAGCCCTACGGAGGGCTTAAAGCTTCTGGACCTGTTGGAAGACTGGTGATTTGATTTGTTTTTGTTTTGCTTTCCTCGCAAGAAGGGTGAAAAATCCAGAGTGGCGTTTTCTTCCCCTGTTCGGTTGGTTGTGAAATTTAGTTTTGTATATACAGATCTATATATTTTTTGGAAAGTGGAATGCATAACTACGGCAAATGCTAGTGTGCAATTGGAGGTACATTAAGACTTCAGCTCCCTTTGGGGCGTTTTGAAGGAGGAAAAAGTCATCCATGTAATGTGAAGGACCCCTCTCTCTTTTCCCCGGACAGAGAGAGAGAAAAAGGAAAACGTCCACCAGAGCAGCCGGGAGCAGGCTTGGTGGTGTTGGAGGGGTCTCTCTCCGATGGATACAGCGTGATTGCCAGTGGAGCACTTCTGCAGCTGCATGGAGTGAAACATAAACAAACACACACCACTGAGCTGCACCAACTCCACTGCGTTTGGGCTGCTGTTGGCGCCATCCCCCCACCCATCTGGTTCCAGAGGCTCATCTGGAACCTCTGGCCTCGCCTGATCCCTTATTGATCGCCTTGTGATTATTAGTAGTATTTTGTGTGTGTGTGTGTGTGCACTGTCTGCTGGGAGAGGGGGCGGGGGAAGGCAGAAGGCAGGAGGCTGCAGGACTTTAATGGAGAGTGGCATGTTCACTCGCTCCCCCCTGCCTGGTAGGCACTGATCCGCAGCGGCAGGAGGAGGACTGGGGTCCGGACCTGTCTATCCCATCGCAGCACCAGGAGCAGCAGCAGCGGGAGGAGGGGAAGCCAAGATGGCAGAGGCGTCTCCCCCTGCCCCCCTCTCCCCTCTAGACGTGGAGCTGGACCCCGAGTTCGAGCCCCAGAGCCGGCCCCGCTCCTGCACTTGGCCCCTACAAAGGCCTGAGCTGCAGGCGAGCCCGGCCAAGCCCTCGGGGGAAGCGGCCGCGGACGCCGCCTCCATGATCCCCGAGGAGGAGGACGACGAGGAGGAAGGGGGCAGCTCGCCCATGGCCATCGGCAGTGCCGTCCCCGGCGGCGGCGGAGGGGAAGCGCTGGCCCCGGAGGAGGCGGCCCGGCTGCTGGCCCCGCTGTCCGGGGTCGGGACGGAGGGCTCGGGCCAGGCCCCCGGGGCAGCGGCGGCTGGGGGCAGCGGGCTGAGTGGGGGGCAGCCGGCGGCGGCGCCGCGGAAATGCTCGTCCCGGCGGAACGCGTGGGGCAACCTGTCCTACGCCGACCTGATCACCCGCGCCATCCAGAGCGCCCCGGACAAGCGGCTCACCCTGTCCCAGATCTACGACTGGATGGTGCGCTGCGTGCCCTACTTCAAGGATAAGGGCGACAGCAACAGCTCGGCCGGCTGGAAGGTGAGGGGGGCAGCGGGAGGGCTGGGGGCAGAGGTGAGGGGTGGCGGCGTGGCAGGGGGGTGCCCCCGAGAGAGAGGGTGGGGGCCCGGGATGTGCCCCGGGGGTGCAGGAGTGGCACTCAGGACGGGGGTTAGGGAGGCTCTCAGGAGGCGGCACCGGGGTAAAGGTACAGAGAGGGTGCCCGGGGGAGGCAGAGGGGGTGGGAGGGTACCCGGGGGGAAGCGGGGGCGGGGGGAGCTGGACCGCGCTCAGCCAGTTAAACCCAGTAGCAGGCCCATGTGCGGCACCCCCGGTGCGCTAGTGGCTGCCCGGAGCTCGGTGCGGGGGAGCTGGCGTGGAATGGGGCGGGCTGGCCCCCTGGTCGGAGGGGCGATGGGTTGCCGAGGCGCACTAGCCCGGAATTAAAGTAATTAACTGCTTTTAGCGTAACGCGGAGAAGCAGCGTTTTAGTGCAGTGTCCGTGGAGCACAATACTGTGATCCCAGCCTCGCACTTCGCAGGCGGCGGGCTCCTCGGTGTACTAGCCGGGGGAGGAGGGGAGGATCGGTGCTTTCCTGCCTTTGAAATGCAAGAAGCAGATACTCGGAAGAGACCTTGGACTCTTGAGCCTCTCAATCATTTGAGCTCCTCGCCTTGCACCTTCCTCTTCCTTGGAGTGACATCTGCCAGGCAAACTCTGCCTTGCACGGCTCTCCAGTTAAATATTAAACGTGGGAGGCACCGGAGTCCAATGAGCTTCCTGAAAAGCTTTGGTGAGACTCCTCTTCTTATTGCTTGGCTGGCCGGGCCCCAGCACCTGCTGCTGGCTGAACCGGTAGCTGATGTTTGCTAATTTGAGAGTGACCCAGGCTGCCTCCACTGTGTACTAGCGAAGCAGGCGGCTTCTCGGCTGGGAGAGGGGTTCTCTGTTTAGATGAACTTGGGTGACTCCTCTCTGCTGGCCCATGTCAGTTTCTTTAATGCTCGAGGCACGTGGTTTAAAAGGGGTGTGTGGCGTGGCCTCTGAGATCACAGTGACCCTGCTGCAGTGTGCTTAGCCTGATGTGCTTAAATGGACACCGTCAACCTGAAATCTAGTCAGTTAAAAATGAGTTAAAAGTAATTGCAGGGACCGCATCTGCATTGGAGTCCCTGTCAGTTTTTGTGGTTTAACAATCACATTTTCTGAATTTGGAAAAAAAATAGTCGTCCCCTCCCCCCTCTTCCCTTGCTCTGCAGAAGACTCAGCCAGACCTGAAGAAGAGATCTGCAAGCTGGAAAGCTTGTCTCTCTCACCCACAGAAGTTAGTCCAATAAAAGATATGACCTAACCCACCTTGTCTCTCACAGAAACAGTGAAAATTAACTAAATACAGAGGAAACAGTGGGAAGACTATACACGGAATGCTGTCAAATGCACAAAACAACAAACTGAAAAATGTAGACAAATATATTTTCTTTATTTTTTTTTCAGTTATAGGAATCTTAGCAGTTGCATGTAACAGTAGTAGGCCAAAAATATACAGATGCAAATCTCAGAGTTCAAATATAGAATTACTACTAGTTTTTCAAGAAAAATTCAAATTCCTCCCTCCACCCAAAAAAAGCCAAGAAAGGTGTATGCTTTTCCTTATAAAGTTAAATTAATGGTGGAATTCTTTAAAGGGTGACTTCTCTGAATGTTTGGCATTTTCCCCCTGGTATGTTAGTGCATATAGGGACACCATCAATTGAGAAATCATACATATCTGAAAAATTTCTATATACAGTTTTTACAGATCACACTTATGATTACTATAATGTAAAGATATTAGAGAAAAAATCATTTTCCAGATTGTTTACTTTGTGCATGTGAAAACACATTGTGTATAGTCAGGCTTTTGCTTTTGAAGATCACTTTTAAAATAAAGGTCTTACTAGTAGCTAATATTGGGTAGACTACATTTTAAAAGTACTTTACAAAAAGTGTTTGCTTTGGTATTGCATGCTCATCTATTAGTATGCCACTTGCTAAAATGCCATTTCTTTAAATGTTACAGCTACACAGTAAGAATGAGCACTTGCATGATATAGGTGCTATTTACAAAGGAGGGACAACTGGTTCAGTTAAATTTCATCTTGGTGCCACTATGTGCCATTTATGATTGAGGGTCTTAATGGATGATAGGAGGAGGATTCTTGAGGAAGTTTTAGCATATATAGATGTTAACTTTCCTATTGAATCTCTGTATTTGATTCAAATAATAGAGAGCTTACATGATATAAAACAAATGAGTTGGAAATGTTGTATAAGCTGGAAGATTCTCATGTATTCTTATGCTAGTAACCCATTCTTATGTTTTGATTTCTGAGTAAGACATACTACTAGGAAATTAATTTGAATACAGATGTAGGATTTTCACCCTCCCAAATGGAGCATTACAGGAAAAATGTTTGCACTGCATTTGACTCAGGCTAAGGAAATGTTTTAAGAAAAAAGGCCAGTTGTTTAGTTCAAGACTGATACCTTAAAAACAGATGCATTTTAAAATTGGATGCCGATTTTATATATTGAATTTGATGAGGTTCCACGAGCATGATAGAGAGTGTGATAAGGCTTAAATCTAATATGACAATCCTTGCTTTCAAATATATACCTTTATGTCATTTGCAAAAGCATTGGTTTCAGACCTCAGCTGTTCTATCTTATCTGCTATGACAAATCCAGTCTTTTATTGAATACTTTGAGTTTTCAGCCAATGATCTCAAATCAAATGGAACTAAAAATTATAAAACAACATATAATGTATAGTGTCTGATACTACTTCCATTGAACTTGGTGGCAAAACTCTCACTGACTTAAGTGGAAGTAGGATCTGGGCCATTGTGCAAAGTGCTTACATTGATTAGTATGCTTAATACACTTGCATTTTTTCTGACAATTTATACTTTTAATTTGATATTGATTCAATTTCTGTGCAGAATTAACTGGTACTTGGAGCTAATTAAAATGTTAAAAACTTGGATCCTTTGAGATTTCACTGATATAATTTAGTTCAGAAGTTTCTCACTGGTGTCTAAAATGACCTTCATCAGAAGATGAGGGCACATTAGAAGCTCAAAATCTTGTTTATGGTTGAGTGCAAGTTGTCTTTGAAACTGATGATAACAGGTTTGATTTTGTTAGCAATCTGTGTATATGTTTGTGTGTGGCTGATAGGAATGTGATAAAGTAGGGGAAGGAGAGGTCAGGAGCTAATAATCTGCCAGGCATCCCAGAACAGAGATTTTAATTTCTAACAGGATTAGTGTTCTTTTTAAGGTGTGCATATGCATTTAAAACAGGGATCTTTCTATTTCTTGACTGGAATATCAGTTACTTTATATGGAAACATTCCTGTTGGACTCCAGCTACATCTCAAAGGGTTTGTTTCCACAGTAGCTTGGAGAATGATTCCCAGCTCTTGCGCGCTAGCTCTGCTTGAGCTAGCATCTAAATAAAGAAGCGTGGGTGCGGCCGCAGAGGTGGTGTCTTGTGCTAGCCGCCCGAGTGCAGTCCTGCCCAGTGCCCTGTGAATGTATTCAGATGGGTAGGCTGAACTGCTGCCCATTCTGCCGCGGCCACTCTGCTCTTTTTAGGCACTAGCTCAAGCAGAGCTAAGGAGCGTACTTCTGCTTGCGTTGGGAATTACACCTCCCAGCTGCTGTGTAGACAGACCATTGGTATCTAAAACACAGTAAATGAGTATATACTGTTTTATCATTTTATTTCCCTCATAAGTATGGGATATAACTGTTTAAAGGACATATGACTAAGCTGTTCACTTTGGACCTTGGGAAAAGTCACAGGGAAACTGAGATTTCAAAAATGATAGAGATTGGTGTACGAGAAAGCCTTTTACCTTAGTCTACAATTATTTTATTATATAGATACTTTCAGCTTCATAGACAAAGAACACATTTAACGGTGTTATTCCCCTCTTGCATCAAAAGGGGAAACTGTCATTTTAAATAAAGGTGAAAAAGATAACTTACTTTTATTATCATACATGTTATATATGAAATATTAATTTTGTTTCCAGTGTAATCAGCAGAACGTACTTCATAAAAATAGCTTAGATTATTCTCCCCAAAACAATTACTTTAAAAGCTATAAATTAAAATTACAACTACCATTCAACTGCTTTTTTTGTTTTTTTTTGCCTAGGGCATTAAAGCAGAAATGAATATTCAGATGTGGTTAGGAAGACAACATTATGTTTCCTCTAATTCAGATAAGATTTGTCCAATTTACACACCAACAGGCTGATTTGTTTCCCCTCCTCTCCAACAACCCATTGGAATGTTAGCTTATCTAACATTGGTTGGCAGCTAACTAGTGCAGTAATATATAATAAATCTTCCTAGATGCAGCATGCTGCATACACTCTAGATACTCACATACAGGTCTTTTCAACACTAACCTGTATGTTTCCAAACCACCCCACAATTATTTAGATATATGATTCAATAACTGCTCACTGCTTTGAATAGTGATAAAAGTGAATGTTTTAGTTTTTGACGTCTATGAAAAACATGCTTTGAAAGAAAGAGACTGTGCATGCTCTGTTGTACAGAAGCACATGTCCTGATAGTGTCTTGTCAGTGCACAATATGTAAGGTGAATCTTGTCGTTACTACCACAGAGGTTCCTGTTCACCAGACTTGCACGTGTTACAGTTTTCTAAATGAAAGTATCTAATGCCACATCAAAATTCTGCATTCAAAATATGCATTCACAAAATCAGTGTATTAGAACTGATTTTTATTAACTTTGTTAAATTGTTCAGGATTCAGTAACTTTCTTTGCTTAATATTTTTCATCTGCCCTGAAATGATATCTTCAGGCACCTTTGTATGTAGGTTGGAGGAATGTGCAGTTTCACTGTAACTTCTGTACGTGCTTTGGTATCTTTTGACATAATATTATTTTGTAACTTCTTATGGCAATACTCTGTGAAACTCAATCCTTCCTCTACATGAAGAGTACACTAGAGGGACTA